CTCATCATGGCATTCCAGACCAGATGCTCGGCCAGAGATTCTACATGGGTCTAGCTGACAACTTGAAAGTGAATGTGGATGCTTCAGCTGGAGGTGCTTTCTTAAGCAAACCATTCACCGAGTGCAAAATTCTCCTCGATAAGATGTCATAAAATGCAGGGTGGATGACTAGAAGTGCAACACTGGCACCCATAGTGCATTCAGTTCCACTTGATCCCAATAATTCGTAGGAAGAGAACATGGCCACACTTCTGACCCAGATGAGCCTACTGACAAAGAAGATTAATGAGATGGGTACAAAACAGGTGCACATCGTTGATACAACAAATGGAGGACTATGTACTCCGTGTATTAATCAGTCCTATGTGTGTTCATGGAGCGGAGAAGGTGAAAATCAAGGGGTCCGGGAAGATATGAATTATGTCAACAACTATGGGGGTCAGAGACAAGGAGCACAGCAGTGGAGACCGCGGCAAAATCAGCAGTACAGGCCTAATATGCAGCAGCCTGGGGGTATTCACCCTCAAAACCAATTAGTGCCAGTGCCTTATAAGAAACCACAGGGTTATCCACAGCAGAATCAACAGCAATTGGTTTATCAACCACCCCCTCAGCAGCAAGATAACAACATGGTGGAGATCAGGGGTATGCTTCAACAACTCATTGGGACAAATAATAAAGTGCAGGAAAAATTGGCAGTACATGATTCAGCCATAAAGAATATTGAAACGCAGCTGGGTCAGCTGTCCATGGCCTTGAACAACCGTCCTCCGGGGACTTTACCTGCAGATACGAACATAAATCCCAAGGAGCAAAACCCGAATCAGCTAATGGCAATCAGTCTCAGGAATGGTAGAGATTTAGATAGAGAGAAGGAAATTGCACAAGCCAGCAAGAATACTACACCAGCTACTCCAGTTCAATTAGAGGTAGAAGAACCAACAGAACTCACTGAAGTAGTAGTTGAGCAGAGTCAGGATGAAAAAGGCAAAGAAAAGGAGACCGAGCAAGTTGCAGAACAGGTTACACCTCTTGAGCCAGAAATTCCTAACAGAGAGAAGCCAGCCAGCAATGCACAAAGGGTGATACCTGCACCCTTCCCTCAGAGACTGGTCAAGCAAAAGAAGGCAGACCAATACAAAAAGTTCATGGAGATGTTGCGTCAAATCCAGTTGAATATTCCATTGATGGATGCCTTGAGGGAAATGCCCGGTTATGCCAAGATGATGAAAGATTTAATGTCAAGGAAGTTTGATTTTCAGGATCTATCCACAGTAACTCTGACACAGACCTGCAGCGCAGTGGTGGCAAAACCGATGGCCCAAAAGATGTCCGATCCAGGTAGCTTTACTATTCCATGCACCATTGGGAGTTATGCCTTTGCAAAGGCGTTGTGTGATTTGGGAGCCAGCATAAATCTGATGCCGCTGGCAGTGTACACCAAATTGGGCATCGGCAGAGCCAGGCCGACTTCTATGCTGCTCCAGCTGGCTGATCGCACTGTGAAAAGACCAACTGGTATTCTTGATGATGTGCTGGTGCAAGTGGGGAAGTTCGTGTTCCCTGCAGACTTTGTGATTCTGGATTGTCAGGTGGATGAGGAGATACCCCTTATTTTGGGGAGACCATTTTTGGCCACTGGGAGAGCACTGATAGACTGTGAGACTGGGGAACTTAAAATGAGATTGAACGATGAAGAAGTCATATTCAATGTTCAGCAATCAATGAGGAGACCCAGCGAATATGTGAATTGCTCTCTAGTGGAGGCAGTGGATGTAATTCTGCAAGAAGATGATTGGACCCTAACTGTGAGAGATCCATTGGAGGCATGCCTGACAAATTTAGAAGAAATGGATGGTGAGGGATTAGGTGAATGGGTGATGGAATTGGAAGGCCGAGGGTTTTGGTCAAGGGAACCTCAGTTCGACTCCCTTGAGCTGGAGAAAAGGGTCACTTCTCCAGCCAAGCCATCAATAGAGGAACCACCCAAGCTGGAGATGAAGCCACTCCCAGATCACCTCAGGTATGCATTCCTAGGCCCTGATTCGACCTTACCTGTTATTATATCATCCTGTTTGCTAGATGTGCAGGTAGAGAAGCTCTTACAGGTACTGAAGGATAACAAGACTGCCATTGGTTGGACCATGGCAGACATAAAGGGTATCAGCCCAGCCTTCTGTATGCATAAGATTCTCCTGGAAGAGGGGCACAGACCTTCCAGGGAACATCAGCGAAGGCTGAACCCTAACATGAAAGAGGTTGTAAAGAAAGAGGTGATCAAATGGTTAGATGCGGGAATCATTTTCCCATCTCTGATAGTAATTGGGTTAGCCCTGTCCAATGTGTTCCGAAAAAAGGGGGAATGACTATTGTGAAAAATGACAACAATGAGTTGATCTCAACTCGTACAGTCACAGGGTGGCGAATCTGCATGGATTACCGGAAATTGAACACCGCCACCCGAAAGGACCACTTTCCCTTGCCCTTCATTGACCAAATGTTGGACAGGCTGGCTGGAAGATCGTACTTTTGTTTCTTAGATGGATATTCGGGGTACAATCGGATATCGATAGCCCCTGAAGATAGAGAGAAAACATCCTTCACCTATCCGTATGGCATCTTTGCCTTTCGGAGAATGCCCTTTGGGCTTTGCAATGCACCAGCGACTTTTCAACGGTGCATACTGGCCATCTTCACAGATATGGTGGGGGATATTATGGAGGTCTTTATGGATGATTTCTCCGTGGTGGGAGATTCATTCAAAGACTGTCTTCACAACTTAAGCAGAGTGCTCAAAAGATGTGTGGAGACAAACTTAGTGTTAAACTGGGAGAAGTGGCATTTTATGGTACAAGAAGGGATAGTCCTGGGATATCGAGTGTCCAGAAAAGGAATTGAGGTCGACCATGCTAAGGTTGACGTGATTGAGAAGTTACCACCGCCCACTTCAGTCAAGGCGGTGAGAAGTTTCCTTGGTCACGCCGGGTTCTACCGGCGTTTCATAAAAGACTTTTCCAAAATTGCTAACCCATTATGCAAACTCCTTGAAAAGGATCAGCCCTTTGTATTTTCTAATGATTGCAAGTTGGCATTTGAGGAACTGAAGAAGAAGTTGATAACTGCACCCATCATTGTTGCTCCCAACTGGTAGCAACCATTTGAGCTCATGTGTGATGCCAGCGACTATGCTATAGGAGCAGTCTTAGGGCAGCGAAAAGATAAGCTGATGCACCCGATTTACTACGCAAGCAGAACGCTAAGCGGTGTACAGCTCAACTACACAGTGACGGAGAAGGAGATGTTGGCAATTGTGTTTGCTTTTGACAAGTTCCGATCATATCTGATTGGTTCTATGGTAATTGTGTATACTGACCATGCAACTCTCAGGGACCTCATTGAGAAAAAGGAGTCTAAGCCGCGCCTGATTCATTGGGTACTGCTATTGCAAGAATTTGACCTCGAAATTCGTGACCGTAAGGGCACTGAAAATCAAGTCGCTGATCATCTATCACGACTTGAAGGAGCTGAAAAATCAGTCGAGGTCGAAGAGATTCTGGAAACCTTTCCAGACGAGAAGCTCCTCGCAGCCAGTCTTGAGGATGTGCCATGGTATGCAGATTTTGCAAACTACCTGGCCTGCGGTATTGTTCCCTATGACCTTTCACCTGTCCAAAAGAAAAAGTTCTTCCGTGATTGCCGCATGTATTATTGGGATGAACCTCATTTGTTTCGAATATGTGTTGATAACATTATCCGGAGGTGTGTCCCCGAGATAGAACAATCTTCAATTTTGCAGGCTTGTCATGCATCATCATATGGAGGACATTTTGGAGGAGTCAGAACAGCTGCGAAAGTGCTGGAGGCCGGATTCTTTTGGCCAACTGTGTTTAGAGATGCACACCTCTGGGTAAAGGGCTGCAATGAATGCCAGAGGACGGGAAACATTTCCCGTCGCCATGAGATGCCAATGAAACCTATTCAAGAAGTAGAGGTGTTTGAGTGTGGAGGATTGACTTCATGGGTCCCTTCGTCAGCTCATTTGGCAATAAGTACATACTTGTTGCAGTGGATTACGTGTCTAAATGGGTGGAAGCTGCAGCCTTGCCCACCAATGATGCAAGAGTGGTGGTCGGATTTCTAAAAAAGAACATATTCACCCGGTTTGGGATACCAAGAGCGATCATCAGTGACGGAGGCATTCACTTCTGCAATAGAGCCTTCGAGAAATTACTTGCTAAGTATGATGTGCACCACAAGGTGGCTACTCCTTGCCATCCACAGACCAGTGGGCAAGTTGAAGTGTCCAACAGGGAGATAAAGAGTGTACCAACGAAAACTGTGAATGCAACTCGAACTGATTGGGCAAAGAAGCTTGATGACGCACTCTGGGCCTATAGAACTGCGTTCAAAACACCAATAGGTATGTCACCATACAAGTTGGTATTTGGGAAGGCCTGTCACCTACCTGTGGAGTTAGAACATCGTGCTTGGTGGGCGCTGAAACAATTGAACATGGATCCTGAAGCAGCTGGACAAAATCGACTCACGGAGCTGCATGAGCTGGAAGAATTTAGGTATCAAGACTTTGAAAGCACGAGGATCTACAAGGAACGAATGAAGAAAATGCATGACAAGAACATCGTGGACAGAGACTTTAAACCCGGTGACATGGTACTATTGTATAATTCACGGTTGAGATTGTTTCCGGGTAAGTTAAAATCCCGATGGTCTGGGCCATTTAGAGTGGTGCAAATGCTTGCAAGTGGAGCTGTTGAGATTGAGTTGGAAGACGGGACAAACAAATTCTCCGTCAATGGACAAAGGTTGAAACATTACCTTGGAATAGTTGCAGAAAAAGGGGAGACAACGGTGACCAATTTAAAAGAACCCCAATACGAGAATGAGGAGTAAGAGCTCAACTACTTGCGTCGTGCCGCGACGTTAAATCAGGCGCTGCATGGGAGGCAACCCACGAATTTGTTGTAAGTGTAATGCATAACTTCATAAAAAAAACATTTAGTAGCAGGAACACGCCCAGACTGCGGTCCCAGCGTAACCGCGGCCGGACCGCGGTCACACACCCCCTCTGAAGTTTGCTACCGCGGTCCCAGCGTAACCGCGGTCCAGGACCCTCTCTGAAGCTTTCTACCGCGGTCCCAACGTAACCGCGGTAGGACCGCGGTCAAACACCCCCTCTGAATCTGGTCTACCGCGGTCCCAGCGTAACAGCGGTAGGACCGCGGCAGCCCAGATCGGGCCCAGGCCAGGTAAGTTCCGAAAATTTTT